GATACTTGGGCATCTTTTGAATAAACCAATATTATGGTCAGCCCATATCAGAACACCTTTGCTATAACTTTTCCAGTTTCAGCTGCTGTGAAAAAAAAATCTTGTTTCAGCTGTGAAATTACCCTGAATCTTGTGCAGTCCCTGTCACGACTGGAATGGATACCAAACTCATTAAGAAATACTCCACTGAGCTGATCAATGACATCCAATGAAGACAAAGGAGAGAATGGCCCTGAGCAGATGCAGTCAAAAAAGATTTAGAAGAAAATGATCTGAATTCTTGGCAGAAATTCCTTGAAAATGGCTTTTGTTTTAAAGCCTCGAGAATGGCCTTTGTTTCACAGTGTTGGGCCATATCTTCATGTTCTCCTTCCAAACAGAGATGACTTGGGGTTGCCTAAGAAATAGTAGGTCCAYGAGAAAAYRTGGCACATATGCTTSYCTCTAAGTAYTCAGCAGCCAYCTGGACATTTAGTAYGTTTGCTCACAAATCTGTCTTTGGTAGTCCTTCAGTCAACACACGTGTATTTTGCCTTTTAGGCAATGCACTATCTTGACCCAAAGGTAGAACAAATCAGCGCCACTTGGATAGAACCAGAGATAATATAAACTGGCCAATAATGCAAAGGTTATAGATACAAAACAGAGACCTGGTTCCCCTTACTGTCTAAATCTCAAACTACTTAGTCCTTTTGCTGTGAAGCAATTCTTCTCTCCTTTGCTCTCTTCAGCGCATCCTTCACCTCCTTGTTCCTCAGACTGTAGATGAGAGGGTTCAGCATYGGAGTCACCACCACATAAAAAACAGAAATGATTTTGTCCCTGCCCAAACTGTAGCTGGAGCTGGGTCGCAGGTACATGAAAATAAGAGACCCATAGAAGATGSTGACAACTGTCAGGTGGGAGGCACASGTAYTRAAGKCTTTGCTCCTGCTCTYTGCAGAATGTATCCTCAGAATAGTGGATAGGATACAGCAGTAGGAGACRAGGACRACTGARGTAGTGGTGACCTCATTGAACCCTGCAAAAACAAACACCAGCACTAGATTGAGGTGAGTGTCAGTGCAGGACAGTTTTATCAGTGGGGGCCCATCGCAGAAGAAATGATCAATGAYGTTGGGACCACAGAAGGTCATTCTCAGTGCAGATCCTGTGAGTATCAGTGAATTTAAAAATCCAGCCACATATGACCCAGACAACATAATAAYRCAGACCTTTCTGGACATGAGGACTGTGTAGCGCAGTGGGTTACAGATGGCAACATACCGATCATGTGCCATTACAGCCAGAAGATAACACTCCGTAGTTGT